CCCCCAGCAGTGGAAAGGGAAACTGGTCAGAGGTTCTTGGGACAGGCTGGTTGCCCTGTCCTAGACCCCCTCCTCTTTGTCTTGAAGTAGGTTCTCAGCAGAAGGTGGCATGGACCTCAAGGGAGAACCAGGTTCCAAGCAGAGCACCCCAGCAACAACCAGCCCCACCCACCCCAGGAAGGGCGGGGCGGACTGGCTGGGCCTCAGGGAGGAAGATGAGGACCTGCTCCCTCCCCCTCCCACCAGAGAGCCTCGGAGGGGAGGTTCGGCACTGTCCACACCCTCTGTGCCCCATCAGGAGAGCCAGCACTCTGCTCCAGGCCGGCACTCTGTCCCCACTGGGCTGCCCTCCTCCTTGGGGGCAGAGGCACCCCCCAAGGGTGCAGGTTCTCCTGCCAGAGCCAGCCAGCTTTCCCAGCTAGGAGCATCTGAGGAGGGGGAGGAGGACTGGCTGAGCCATGCCTTGTCTCTGAAGAAGTCCCGAGATCTGACCAGAGAAGAGCGTGCTGCCACTTCTAAGGGCCAGAACTCGGTGGGGGCCAGAGGCCGACCCCCTTCCAGCAGGTACTGGTGCGGGCTGCCGTCTCCAGTGGAGGGAGGACCGGGCAGGGTGTGGGTATAGGGAGTGCCACCTCTTCCCTGAGCTCCTCTTCCTCTGGATGATGCAGAGGGCTCAGACTTGGGGAAATTGCCAGGATGGGATGGTGGGAACAGGAGGAGGCCAAGGGGAGGCAGGAAGAGGAACAGCCTCACAGCCTCACGCTGGGGCCTTGTCCTGTCTTCGTCCAGCCTGACCTGGACCCCTACCACCTTCACTTGAACGTTTACTTCCTCAGCCAACCTGTGGCTAGTCCTCAAGGGCTTGAGCATGCAGGTGCAGGAGGGACCTCAGGACCAGCAGCACAGAAGCCGCCTGCCGAGGCTGCCGCCTCGGGGTACGTCTGCAGCTGGGGCCCAGGGTGGAGAGAGGCACACTGGGGGCCAAACCGGGCCTCCTCTGACTTAGGCAGATACATAGTATTCGATACCTCGCATCAGGCCCACTGATTAAGGAGTTTCCAGAAGCCTGGGCCCCACTATACTCCCTGAGGTCTCACTTTGTTAAACTGCCAGCCACTGGGGCCTTTCCAGTCGATGTAATGTGAACCTCTTTTCCTTTCCTGCCACCCCCATCCCTGTGTCCTCAGGTCCCCCATGACTTGGAACCCAGCCGCCTTGTCCCTCTATGCAGGCAACTCAAAGAAGGACACAGCCCCTGGAGGCCTCTCTGGCACAGGTTTGTTTTCTGCTTTGCTTGGGGGTTAAAATCTGGGTGAGAAAGAGGCACTTTGGGCTTCCTTTGGGGTTCCCAGAAGAGAAGTGACGCCACACACACACACAGACACACACACACACACGAGACCTTGGGCCTTCATGGGCCTCCTTCCTGTTCAGTTCTCTGCTGTCAATTTTTCAGACCCTGCGATGTGTTTCCCGAGCTCCCAGGAACCCACAGGGCTTTCTCTGCCTGTCCAGGTAGGGAGGGCTGACAACTAGATATAGGTCTTAGGCCCATGATGCAATTCTCCCGTGCTCAGAGGCCACACCAGTGGTGTGACCTGATGGTCTGCCAGGATATCAGAGAGTGCACCCGGGCTCTCCCATCAGTACTTTCCTGCACTTGGAGCCTTGTCAGACAGAGCTGGGTGCTAATTTGCCAATACCAATAGGGACTTAGAGGTGCCGCCAAGGCAGGGTAGCCGGGAATGCTCTAATCAGAAAGCAGGGTTGTAGGTGTCTTGTTCTGTCTAGAAAGCCTCCTCCATCGTGGCCATCCTCCCTCCACACCTCCATGTTTCCCAGGTGTGGCAGTCACTTCTGACCCCTGGGACTAGGGAGCCTGGCCCACAGGATCATGTCCCTGGTAACCCAGAAGCACCTTTGGAGATGGGGCTTGGTGGGCAGCCAGCAGAAAGCAGGGTAGCTGTCAACATTTGGACTTCAGAGCTGACAGAAAGGGCCAGTGTCATAAGCTTTTGTCATTGTTAAGACAGCTGGATCTCAGCCATTCGTCCAGGAATCTGGACTGCTGTTGGGAGGATGCTGTCCTGAGGAAGAAGGGAGACTCATTCTAACCAGACCTGAGTGGGGAGAGCGGTGACCACATGGCTCTAGGGCCTCATCCTTGGTCTCTAGGTGTCAGGTCCTAACCCCATCTGCAGCCCCTTCTCAGATGCAGGACCTGTGAGGCCCAGAGATAGCTGTGCTCCGCTGAGTCCCTGCCCCTCCCTAACCTGGGACATGTCTCACCCTCTCCTATAGTCCCCACTCCTGGAATCCCTGGCGCAGAGCAAGCTGCCGGGCACAGGATACCAGAAGCAGCTCCTGGCTGCTCAGGTGCAGCTTCAGAGTGGCACTGCCCAGCTCCAGGCTGAGCTTCTGCAGAGTCAAGCCCGGCTGGCAGAGCTGGAGGCCCAGGTGAGGGTCAGGGGCAGCTGACTGTGGGTGCAGGGTTGCAATGGGAAAGTGTCACTGTGAGGGCTGGAAGCCTTCCCCAGGGGGCCCAAGGGACTTGCCTCCATGCTGTCCATCTTGCTATCTCAGGTGCGGAAGCTGGAGCTGGAGCGAGACCAGCATAAGCTGCTGCTGGAGAGCTTGCAACAGCGACACCAGGCTGACCTGGAGCTCATCGAGAATGCTCACAGGTACCCCTCCACCTGTGGCCTCCTGGGCTTCCCAAGGCTCATAGCCTGCCCCAGCTGATGTGTTCCAAGAGGCCCTTCGGGTGGCCACCCTCGCCTTCTGCGCCCCACAGCTGGGTGTTTTGTTGGCAGAAGCCGCATCAAGGTGCTAGAAACATCTTACCAGCAACGGGAAGAACGGCTGCAGAGGGAGAATGCGGAGCTGTCCGCCCGGTACCTGTCACACTGTCAGGAAGCTGAGCAGACCCGTGCCGAGCTCACCGCCCAGCACCAGCGGCGTTTGGCAGCTGCAGTGCAGGAGAAAGACCAAGAGATGGAGCGGCTCCGGGAGCTGCAGCGGTGAGGGCACCGCCCAGGCCCAGGCTGGCAGGGGAGCAGGCTTCCAGGGTAGCCAGGGCAACCTGATTGCCATGAGACCCCCACACCGTGACTCAGCAGCCTTTGAACCGAGGCCTGTCCCCTTTCCTTCCATGCGAAGACCCAGGCCAGCACACTGACCCATCCCACCCATGAGTGGGGGGAACACTGCCCCTACAGAGGTGGGAAGGGGTACCCACAGTGCCCACGTTGTTTGTCTGGGCCTGGCAGCAACAAGCACATGGGCTAACTTAGCCCAGGTCAATCCACTCACCTTCTGGAACTCTAGTTACTGGATCGACCCTGGAAGTGGTTTGTGCTGGGTGCCTGGTATAGTTGCCATTCTAGGTTAGAGCAAAACTAAGAAAAGGTACCTAAGGGAGCTGGCTGATGAGGACAGAGCCAGCCTTTTAACACTACTCAGTCCAGACGTGCCTGCTTTTCCTCTGTGTAGTGTCCTTTGCTGAATAACGGAAGGAATCTACCCCTTAGATAGTGGATGTAGCATTAAGGCACCAAGACAGATAAGGCTGAAGAGCCAGGGAAACTGAGGCAGTGCCTGGAGGAGGAGGAGGGGAGGCCTGGGAGCAGTGCACCCAGAGATACGCTCCTCCCTCGGGAAGCTGCCCACAGTCCACCCTCCCCACGGCCCTGTAGGGCCTCCATCCTGGAGATGCGCAAGGACCATGAGGAACAGCTGCAGCGGCTGAAGCTGCTGAAGGACCGAGAGATTGATGCCGTCACCAGTGCCACCTCCCATACTCGGTATGTGTCTGGTCCAGGCCCTACCCACTCCAAGGGGGTGGTGCTGCGGTCCCCAGGCCACGGTGACCAGATCCTCCCCAGGTCCCTGAATGGCGTCATTGAGCAGATGGAGAAGTTCTCCAGCAGCCTGAATGAGCTGTCCTCCCGTGTGGAGGCCTCGCACCTCACCACCACCCAGGAGCGGGAGCTGGGCATCCGGCAGCAGGACAAGCAGCTCCGAGGTACCGCATAGGCCTTGCATCCCTTCCTCCTCTCCCATCTTGGTGGGAGGTGGGCAGACAGTGAGTGCCCTGTGGGCCACCCCTAGCACTGCAGGAGAGGCTGGGCCTGCAACAGCGGGACATGGAAGAGGAGCGGAACCGGCTCCAGGAGGTCATCGGGAAGATGGAGGCCCGCCTGAACGAGCAGAGCCGGCTGTTGGAGCAGGTGAGGCCACCTTCATCCGGGCAAGGCCTGTCTCCTACGGCCCCCAGGGAATGTCCATAGTACTCTGAGCTCACCTCCTGGCCTCAGGACTTCCCTCTGAAATGTCTCCTGCCTTTCCTGCCCACCTCCGCAAGTGCCCTCGCCCACTGCAGCTGAGCCCCTCTGCCCATCAGCTGCACGTCCCGCTTTCTCTCCAGCCACTTGAATCTGTCACAATAGCTGATGCCTGTGACCTTGGAAGAGATGTTCTTGCCTAACAGACACATTTTGAATTCCCTACATATCTTTCACACAGAAGAGTGAGCTCTATTCTTCAAAGAATACCTTTTTTTTTTTTACTAGGTTATAACATACATTTCACTGAAAAAATTAAACTACAGAAACAATAAAGAAAAAATGGAAATTATTCACTAGCTAGAGATAGCCACCGATGATATCATGTATGTCCTGTGGACATATCAACATGTAGATATAGATAGTTTTATATTATGGACCATATTTATTCAGTTCTTCATTTGGTAACTTTATTAAGCCCCTGCCTCGGTCCAGGCCCAGTCAGCTTCTAACCTCATGCTGTGTGTGTCCTGTGTTCCCTGCCATGCGCAATGTCACTCTCACCCTGTGCTTTGCCTGCTTGGTTGCTGGGAAGCAGGCAAGGCCAGTGCTCACTGGTAATTCAGAGACCAGAGATGCTGCTGCCTCTGGAGCCTCCCAGCAGAGGTCCCTGAGCCGTTAAGCCTTGGTGCAGTTAATCAGTGGCTGGACCCTTAAGCCTTCTCGGGTGTCCCTCATTTTGCACCTCTCTGGAAAGGAGGTGTTTGTGATACAGGTGGGAGGTGCAGATAGCTTTGCACAGCAGGCAGGCTTGACTGGGGGCAGGTGGAGCACAGAGGGGGAGCTCATTCTCAGCCCTGACCGGCATCAGGAACGCTGGCGGATGAGTGCTGAGCAGTCCAAGGCGGAGTCCACACAGCGTGCCCTGGAGGAGCAGAGGAAGATCATGGCCCAGCAGATGGCCATGGAGCGGGAGGAGCTGGAGAGGGCCAAGGTGAGTCCAGCCACACCATATTCAGCTGCTGTCCCTGCCCTTATTCCCAAGGATGCTCACCCCTCGCCTTTGTGCCCTTGTCCCAGAGTGCTTTGCTGGAGGAGCAGAAGTCTGTCATGCACAAGTGTGGGGAGGAGCGGAGGCGCCTGGCAGCCGAGTGGGCCGAGTTCTACGCACAGCAGAAGCTGAGTAAGGAGAGGGCTGAGCGAGAGGTGGAGCGGGTGCTGCAGGTGGACACCCATCGGGAGGGCACCCTCATCAGCCTGGCCAAGGTAGGACCCTAGAGCCGCCAGCCCTGCCTGGTCCTCTGTCTGCTCCTCCATCGGGATGGGTCTGCTTAGCAACAGGCACAACAAGAGTATCAGAATTAAAACCACAATAATCATAGAATAATAATAGCTTCATTGTACTGTCCTAGGTGCTTTATACATGTTGCTCATTCAATCCTCATCATGTCCGCATGACTTAGATACTCCAGAGATGAAGAACCTGGGGTTCAGAGAAGTTGAGCCCAGGGGTGAGGGGTAGCACCCAGACATGGGCCCCCCAGGCCTGTCTGACTGATCCTGGGACCCCCTATCCCACCGCACCCTCCCAGAGGCAAGGTCAGGTAGAGCCACAGCCACGAGGCAGGCAGGCTAGGGGCACTTTGAACCCTGAGCAGAGCCCAGTTCAGGACAATACAGCGGAAGCGTTGCCATCTCCAGGAGCAGGCAGAGCTGAAGATCAGAGCAAGTGAGCTCCGAGCCAAGGAGGACCAGCTGGCGGCTGAGAGGGAGGCTCTGGAGCGGGAACGGCAGGAGCTGCGGCTGGAGAAGGAGAGGGTCAGCGCTGCCGCCCTAGGCATCAGGCGCCGAGCCGAGGAGGTGGAGAGGATGAGCCAGGTTCCAGGCAGCTCAGCTCGGGGCATGGCAGGGGCTCGGGCAGTCCTGACCTCAGCCAGCCTGGCTGACCCTGGTGGCCTGCCTGCAGGTGGCCTCAGAGAAGTACCAGGAGGGAGAGCAGGCATTGCATGAGGCACGGCGGGTGCAGTCGGAGCAGCAAACCCGGCTACAGCTGATGCGACGGCAGCTGGAGCAGCTGCAGCAGCAGGAACAACACATGCACCAGGCAAGGCCCCTCTCAGCTCTGGCTCCTGCCAGTCTAGCTCCACTGAC